ACTGTGTAGTGTAGTAGATTCCAAGGTTAATTTATTAAACTTGTCAGCTGTTTACTCTTAGTTAGACTGTGATTTAAAAATGCAGTGTAAAAAAGGCGAAACCAAAACCCCACAGGAATTTGGATGTGTGAGGATGCACTTTTATGTTTGGCTTCAGTCTGCATTTTGTGGACCTAGATGTTTGAGTAGAAGCTGTACTGAAACATAGAGAAAGGGCAGTACATAGCGAACATGGTTTTATGTTCAGCATTATTTTCTCTTTCTTCCTATCGACAGGTTTAAAGATTTATGAACACATTAAGAATTCTATAATATAGATGTTGTCTTAGTGTAAATTGCTAAGAAATGCCAAAAGACAAAGCTTTTGTTTGTTTTATGCCTGTCTTATGCCACTGTGATCAAGTAGGAGGGTCCCTGGAACACCCACCCAGTGTGGCAGAAAGTGCCTGAGGGAAATGAAGGATGATGCTGGAGCATCGTAGTGTCCCTGTCTGCTCCTTGGAAGATGGCTGGGGCAGTCCTGGCCATGTTTTGTCTGTCACTGTGCTGTGCACAAGGCTGAAATACTGGTCTCTTCAGCCAGGTTTCATAAGCTCTTGGAGATCTATTTCACACCCAAGATAGCTCAGCTACCTTAGAAGGCATAAAATCAGCAGGATGGCTTCTGTGATAGTGTGGGAAACAAAAAAAGTTTTAATAAAAGGCAAAATAACACAACTCTTTAGAGAGAATAAACTGAGCCAGGTGCAAGAGGTTCTTGCTCCTGGTAAAACACCTCACAAAAGCAATTACTTCTTTGTTCTTTTTCTAGTAAATTGCTCAGGTGGGACTTCTTGGCTTCTGTCCAATTTGCTATCCTTAAGTTTGAGGTGAAGTCCCCCAGGTCCTGTCAGGTGCCTTTTTTTGCTAATTGAGGAAATAAACTTCTGGGCTTTTTTCCTTTTTAAGGAGACAAAGGATAGTTTTGTCACTCCATCAACAGGGGGCACATTCCTACACGAGGCTTCTGCTTGTGCATTTTCTAGCGAATCTGCAGAGAGCAGGAGTGACCAGAGGGCAGAGACTGAGCAAGTGTCGCTCCTTTGCATTGCCATACCTGTTGTGGCTCTTATTCATTATATACCAGTGTTTGTCAGTGAAATCTGAGTCCTGTTTAAAGCTACATGCATTTATTTTTTTGCCTCTATAAAAGCTTCTTGGATGTGTTGGCAACAGGTTTTTCTTCAGTGACTGATCCTGGTATCTGATAACTGTTACCAAAATCAGGTTGACTAGAGATATGTGTTCTTCTCTGAAGAAAATGAACCCACTCAACATGCACAACATGCCATTTTTAATTTAGGTAATTGTTTATTTTAAAATACAAATTACAAAATTATTACAAAACAGTAAAGTTCCTGTGATTGAATAAGATAAGGAGAATTGTGAAGGAATGTTGGACTTCAAATGCAGCTGCATTTATTTTCCATGTTTGGAAATGTCACACTTACAGGCAATTAATTTCCTTCTGTCTGTGTTATGTTTTTACCAACCATTTGGTAGTATGATGACTAGGTTCAAAGTGATGTATCACAGCCAGTGGAAGGGACCACATTTAACTTTATTCACAGTAAAATTAGGAAATGTTCCATAATCAAACCTCTATAGACAAGAAGGACCTGCTGAAATCTCTTGGGCTGTGCTGGATCAATGGCTTAAGGAGAGTGAGGCGAGTTGCCTTCTGGATCTGTCTTTATGGGCCTGAAGAACCCAGATGATCAGCTCAAAGGTAGTTTTTAGGATGAACAATGTGAGATGCAATTAATACTGTCTTAACACGATCCTCTCTATTGGAAAGGACAGTGTTATGGTTGGAGGGTGACACTAAAGAGTGCCTTACTCAGAAGCTGAAAGCAGGTTGCAGTATAGTATGCATAAATAGATGTTCCTAGTGTGTGCAAAAACGTATTTTGGGACTGCTGTCACCAGTTGCTGTCATTTTAACGGCATACTGTAATTGATATGCATTTGTTTTTCTGAATAATCCAAAAGTAGGAGTGAAATGATTCAGTTGGAAAGTAGGAGCTGGGATGCTTAGCTGACACATGGATAATAAAAGTACATCTTGAAGTTTGCAAGTGTGAATACAGAAGATGGGCTGCTGAGGCACTTCTGTGGTAAACAGGAGTTGAGGAATGGAAAAGATGAGTTATGACCACTAGTCTTTCAATCAGGTTTTGTACTCATAGTGGGTTTTTAAAATTTTTTGTATCTTGTGAAGTGGTAGTGTTTTGTGTCCATATGCATACCACTTAATTGTTATTCAGCAACACTGCCAAGCATTTCCATTTCAGGGATTCATTAGCTTTTTAAAGATTTTCTTCTGCTATAATTTTTCCAGGGTTTAAATGCTTTGGGTTTGTAATCTCCCGAATGGGATTAATTTTTAAGGCTTAGTGAAACTCTTTCATTACAGAAAGATAAGGAAAAGTGTGCTTCACTTTAGCAACACTGTTTGAGACTGCTAACAGTTGAGATCTTCTAGTAATTTAGCGAGAAATATGTCTTGGAAATAATATCTGAGATAAACATGCAAATCTGCACAGAAGTTGAATAATATGGGTGGTTTTTTTTTTTTGTTTGTTTTAGTTTGGTTTGGTTTGGTTTTGTTTTTTTAGTAAGGGCATCAGGGTACTGCTCAGGTCAGGGTGGCCGTGCCGGCCAGCAGCCTGCCCTGCTACCATGGTGGGTCACTTCTCTTCACTCCTGTGCTGCTTTCCACCACAGAGCTGGTAAATTAAACCCATTTTTTAGTGCTGGCCTCTTTCTTGACTTTGGAAACCTAAGAAACGTGTGTTCTGGTATGTCTTGTAGTAGGTTGACCTTTTCCTGCAGTGTGGGGTGCGCTCAAGGAGGGAGGCAGCAATGCACAGTGAATCGCAAACACTGTGGGGATTGCCTTGCTCTGTGCCAAATTATGTTTTCCATCTCCAGCATGTAATTTCAGGCAAATCCATTGAAGTCTTGAATCTATAATTAGACTTATAAGCTTCTTTAGACCTTTTAAGTTTCCTTTCTTTAAATGGAATACAGCATTTTTTTCCCCATTAATATTCCTGACATATTTTTCAAAGAATGCTTTCCTGGTGTTTTTTTTTTTTTTAATTTATTTATATTTTCCTTCAGCTTTCTAAACTGAGTATGTAGAGATCCTATTTCCATCAAGAAATGGACTCAAAATTACCTGGTACAAGTGACTGATGTATATGGATTCTTTTTTCCTGGCAGTACTGAGCAGAAATGTTTTTTAGTAGGCTAAATTAAATATGTATTTCTAAAATTGGATTCATACTGTGGGTTTTTCTGCATTACAATTAAAGAAGTTAATTAAAATGTCACTTGTCACTCCTTTTTATGTGTCAATACATGAATGTCTGGTTAAATAAATCAGTTCTGTCACCAGGTGTTGATGTGAGACGGTTCCCTCTGTGACAGCCCCTCAGGATAAGTTACAGCCTGGAGGGACAGGCATTCTTGTACTTCACTGTATCAATGTGTGTGTCTATGTGTACTACCTATGTATATATGTCTGTACGCACATGTGTTGTCACGGGGCGTTCCTGCCATGCTTGAGAAGCAGCCTTTGGGTGCCTCCTTTGCCTGAGTGTCATTTGTCCTGTTGCTTCCTCATTTTCATATATTTATTACAGAACTACTTTACAGACTTATTGTTTCCTTCATAACAGTTTTAATATTAGGCACAATCAGATTCCGATTTTTTTTCTTTCTGTACAACTGATCTTAATAGATACTGCCTAATTTCCAAAGAAACCTATAAGCCTTTTTTAATGCAGACACAGCAGACATAAATAGTTTGTTAAAATATTCTCAATGTGCTATAGGTAAGCAGTTTGCATCTAATATAATTTTCTTAGTGTTTTGGGGAATTTTTGTGCCCCTAAATTGACCTAAAGTATTTTCCTGTTGCATTTTCTACTGATCAGTTTTAATTTCCCTTTTCAGCTCCCCATAGCACATGTTCTGGAAGACTCACTGCTGTTCTGCTACCTGCCTTGGTATCTGTTGTGATTTAGCAGTCTACAGAAGTTGAAGTCAGTCCTTCTGCCCCTTACAAGCCTTGTTGACTGCAGGCAATAAAAGCTGCCAATATGGAATGCTCTGAGTGAAGAGGAGAAATTGTAGAAGATGCCATCGTTATTTTAAAATTCTTCTAAACCAGGGGATTCTTTTAAGAATTTATACATTTGGCTCAGCTATAACTTCCTTGGCATCCTTATGTTCATTTAGGGAAGTTCATATATATATTTATAGGAAATACATTCTGGAGCTTAATCCCAAGGTTTGCAAACTTTCTGGCTCTCCATAGAGCCAAAACCATGCATTTCTATATCTGTTTTATGCTTCCATGGATTTCACTATTAGATTTTGCCAGTTGTGTGGTCTCTCCAAATTCTGCTTCAGTGTGCATACATTTCAGTTTTGTTGCTGGTTGTTTGGTTTGGGGTTTTTTTTTCCTCTTTATATGTTGCTGTTCCTTCACAGGCGTATTTTTACTGTCTAGCACTTGTTCTATTTTCCAAAGCTACAGTTATCGCTAGTTTATGTTACTGTTTTTACTCCACTTACATTTTACATTTCTTTTTTTTTTTCCTTTAAACTGAGGCACATTTTGTTCATTACTTGTTCTTCTACTTGAAATTGTGCGAAGACAGCTACTGCAGCTACACCAGCCCAGAATACCTCCTATTATTTTTCTTTTTAGACATTTTGATAGTTTGCAGAATTTTATTCTTAATGCTTTTGTGGAAATAGAACCTCTGTAAGAACAACTTCCTAATGTCTTCTCATACAATTTTCTACACACATGCATTTCTTTTAAGATCCATTCTGTGTTCTTGCTTGCAGTTAGTAACTAGCATGCAAATGGATTTGAGAATTGTTTCCTGAAAATTATTAAATGCTTTTGCACTTCTACTAAATGTTATCCCCCCCCTTTACAGATGCAGAGAGGAGAAATATGATTATTATAACCTGCCAAAAACCTCTGTTGTGATAGCTTTTTATAACGAGGCTTGGTCAACGCTTCTGCGAACCGTTCACAGTGTTCTTGAGACATCTCCGGATATACTTTTGGAAGAAATTATCCTTGTAGATGATTACAGTGACAAAGGTAGGAAGAATAAGTCTAAATAATATTGATTGTTGATGGGCTTTTTTGGTCAGCCAGTTCATAGGAGAAAGAGTGGTGCTGTTCAGGTCACATAACAGAAAACTGTATAACAAAGGCCTCTCACTGAAAAAGTTTTTCTTGTAGTGTACCAGTGAAAAATTTGGCTTATGTACCAAATTTAGTTTGGAATGGGGAAGCACATTTGCTGTGCTGTAACATGAGTGCTTGTGTGTATAGATAGACTACAGTCTGAACAGAGCACTTTGGGTTTCCTGAATTGAGCAAGTTTCGATTGCACCAACGCTCCCCTGGTGTCTCATATAATGACAGTGACCTAGTTCTTTGGTCTTGCTTGAACAACGGGACATAAAGGCAATGCTGGCATTTTCCACCACACATGAATTGTGTTAAGAATAAAACTTTTATACAGAAAGCCTTAAGTAACATTTGAGAAGCTCTTATCGATCTGGGGATGTGTTACAGAGGTAAATGTGAAGCGTTCAATTTCTTCAAAGTAACTGTGATTTGTGTCCAAATCCAGGTTTTGTGCTTTTTTCATGTCCTTTCTAAACATGTATAGCCGAATCTGAGTTCAAAGTACCACAATCTTTAGAGCCCTAGTATCAGTGTTATGCTAGTGAGGAGAGAGCTTCCTATAGAAAGACATAAACAAATCATTTCAGAGTGTATTATTCCCTCTTTTTTTGGCTTGTTACAGAACATTTAAAGGAGACTTTGGAAAACTATGTGGCTGGCCTACGCAAGGTGCGTCTTATTCGCGCAAATAAGAGGGAGGGGCTGGTCCGAGCCCGGCTGCTGGGGGCGTCTGTGGCCAAAGGAGACATCCTGACATTCCTGGACTGCCACTGTGAATGCCATGAGGGCTGGCTGGAGCCACTGCTGGCAAGGTGAGCTTGTGTTGTGGGCGGGTTTTCTCTCCCATTGGAGAAGAAGGGGTGAGACAGTTTGGCCCACTTCTGCAGTGGAAAAATGACTCATGGTTCACCAAAGGTTACTGCAGTCTGGTCCCTGAGGCACTGCCAGTGTTTGTGTTTGTCTCCTGGCTGTGGGGGAGCAAATGCAAATGGAAGTTTGAAAGATCATGGCATGGTGGGTTTTGAATTTTTTTGCTTGTTTGTTTTTGGTGTTTTTTTGTTTGTTTGTGTTTTTGTTTGTTTTGTTTTTGTTTGTTTTATTTTTTTTTCCCCTGAGGACCAAGCTGCCTCTTCAGGCAATGGAAAGTTTTGGTTTTCAAGATGATGAGTCCTCACCTCCAGCTTTGGAACTACATTGGTAAAGGAGGCTATTTCTGTCAGCCTGGGTGAGCAGAAGGTCTGGAAACATGTGTGCCCTGCAAGGCAATGTTTGCAAAATGCAAGTCAATAAACTCCATCTTCTTAGTCCTGAGCAAATTCACCTTTCCAGACTGGTTCTGACATCAAGCATCATGGTGTAGGATAGGGAGGAGTAAATGTTATGTCAACACTGACTCTTATTTGGAAACCATCTGTCCTGGGACACTGTACTTTATGTCTATGTGGTCTCTTGTTAATTTTGCAGATCCGTCAGGCTGTTCAGAAAACTTTGGTAATTAAAAGCAAGCAAACAAACAACAAAAAAACCAAGGAACTTTCCCAAAACTCTAACAAAAAAACCCTAGAAACCATAACACTAGCCTTCTGTTTCAGCTGAGAATATGTATTATATTCTTGAAGCCTCACCCATGTGTACCAGCAGCCATACATTGACTTTTTTCCTGCTATGGGTTCAGCCACTGGCACCTCACCACAGCACCTGCTGCTCCTGAATCACATTACAAGGCTCTGTTGGTTTTGCCCCTTTTACTCATAGTTCATGGCTTTACCCTCTTGGATGGCATTAGAAGATACTGATAGATACAGGACCTGAATCAGACCTCCAAAATGTTGTATGTAGAAAACCAGCTTTCTTTAAAACATATTTAAAATAAGAAAAAAAAGAAAGCTTTCCTCAAGGCCAGTGTTTTGTCTTGGATCCTGTTAAGATTCCCACCAGGTACTGTAGAGTACAGAAAAGGACCAGAAAATCAGCCCAAATACAAACTGGAGAGAGACTTCCAAAAGCACCAAGTGTCTTGATGTGTGTGAGTCTTCCTGATTCCTAGTGGGTCTTGTGTTCCCAAATTCCCCATGTCCCTTTGAAATTGTATCTAGAATACAACTTCAGCTTTTTGTTTTCTTAAAATTGTCATACTTACCTTGTTTCTAAATTTCACATTGAGTGCATTCCAGATAACTGGGGGGTAGCGTGAAGAAAGGAAAAGGGATAAACCTCAAATCACGGGCACAGGTTTAACTAAAAAAAGTGTTTGATGGGGGGAAAAGCTGTGATTTCTTCACGTCTTTAGCGCACCACTAGATGGCAATCTTGAGGAAGGATTGGGATTTTTTCAAACGCAATTGTCACCACCTGTAACAAGTTAGCTCTCTTGGAATTCCTGCCGTTCTTGCTGCAGATGCAGACATGCATCTCTAAGGGGTTTTTCTGCAGCATATCTGACTCAAATGTATGGCAGCAATACCACGGTGTTAGCATTTGGCAGTGCAAACATAGCTGTATTTGTAAGCTGCCTGTGCATTGTACCATCTAGCTAATTCTTAATTTACAGAAAAAGTGATGACTTTTCACTTACTTCACTCCTTTCATAATTGAAATCATATGCAGCTACCTACATTTACTTGTTTTCCTACTTGTTACAGGAGGAGGAAAATATTTTTACTTTTTATTGGTTTTTTTTTTTTCCTTTTCCTCTAGTGTGGATATCATTTTCATTGCTTTGTACAATGAGGATTTGTACAAAGTTTTATGCAAGTGAGACAGGAGATAACATTTGTATAAGCCCTTTCGTGTGCTCTACCAAACAAGGTGTCAATGGGAGATCATAAAGAAGAAAACAGCTGTTTCACATATTCCCTCCAGCCACAAGAGGCCATTTCAAGCTTTGGGCAGTCTTTCTCAGCTCAGACAATACTGCTTTGTAATTGCTGCTGTTCTCTGCTGCATTTAACCATCACAAGCTACAGTGAGCCATTGGTCAGTGTACAGATTTTTAGCCTAACAATCCCATGAGGAATGAGCTCTCTTTGGATAACAGATGTACTGCATCTCTTACTTGTTTGACAATATAATGTGTTCAGTTTTCCTTCACCTCTGAAACATGTAAATACAAGATGCAAGGCTAAAGTGCATATCTGCATCTCTAAGTGAAACAAGTTACTTCATTTCACTGAACTATCAGGGGGTGTCTAACTAGACCAGGGAAGATGCTAAACAGTGATTTAGGAGAAAGACCTTGGCTTGAGTTTGTGTGCTTGATGTTGCTCCTAGTACTGAGGGGGGCCATTTAGAAGGTGAGGAGAAGGCTAATAATCCCACTGCTTCCTATAAAGATGAATCCTTTTGGAAAGGAATCCTGAAAACCCTGCATGATATTGAGAAATGGGAGGAAGGGATTTATCTCCTTGTAGAAGTAAACCTGCAAGAAATGTCATCAGCTCTGATGTATTCGTAGTATGATAAAGATCTGGACTATCTTTAGATCACCCTTGCATTAGGAATGTCATTCTGCAGTGCTATCTTGTTTCTCCTTTTCATCTCCTATGTTGACAGGGTTTCTTGAGGCCTCCTTCAGTTATGTTTCGTTGTTGGGGGTCTAATTCCCATGTTGCAGGTTTGGTTTTTTCTAAGCTCAGGGCTTCTTTTTGAGTTACTGTTACAGTACTCACTGCAACATTTGCAGATGATCACAGTTACAAGAACAGCCATGACTTCAAGAGCCAAGAGTCTGGCTGGTTTATTATTCATCGCTGCGGAAGTATGCAATCAAACTGCTCTCTTAAGCAGCTACCTGTACAAAAGAAAATGAATATTTTTTCCTTGATGAAGTGGTGCTGGCTATGGCAGCCAAGCCAGATGCTGAATGTGTTATTTCAATCCATCTGGCATATCTTGCTTCCACCATCCAGGAAGGTTGATGCTTGCCAGTGGAGTTCATCCTGATACATCCTCCTGATGTAGGAAAATGGGGGTTATTCTTGTATTTATTGTATCATCATTTCCTTGTTATTGCAGCATGAATTGAAAAGGAGCAAAACTTCATGTTTGGTATTGTAAGCATTCTTTGTTCCTGTCAGTTCTAGAGTTCTAGTTTTGGGGGGGGGGTTTTTTGGCTTTTTTTTTTTTTTTGTTTTTAATTTTTCTTTTTATTTTTAGAGATGTTTCTAATGGAAGTCACCCTTTTGTTTTAAAACCTTACCAGGATTGCTGAAGAAGAAACAGCTGTTGTCTGCCCTGTTATTGATGTTATTGACTGGAACACATTTGAGTACTTGGGAAATGCCGGTGAGCCACAGATTGGTGGATTTGATTGGCGCCTCGTCTTCACTTGGCACAGTATCCCTGAAAGAGAACAAAAACGGAGGAAGTCCAAGATTGATGTGATCAGGTTAATTTTTATGCATCCTTGAAACTGTGAATGTGTTTTTGATTTCACCTGAAAATGCCAGGTGCCGAAAGATATCTGGGAAATGAACATATTACTAAAAAGTATGTATTTTGTTTAGTTCCCCATTTTTTTCAAAATAACTCCTGTTTACCATATTCCTGGAAAAAATAGTGCTCTAAAAGCTGAAAATCCTGTTTCATCTTCCATATGGAAAGCCTATTGCACAGTAGGCTCTTGACTCCTCTAGACAAACTCTTACAGATGCTTACCAGCACATGGAAAGAGTGTAACTGATTAACTAATACTGGAGGATGCCCTCTGTGTAAAGCAAAGAGCTCTGTGTTGTAAAGAAAATGTATCATGGGCAACAATGAAAAGGGGGAAAAAAGATTACCAACCAGTAAGAAGGTAAAAGCAGTTTTGAAGATTTTTTCCTGTGTTATGTAGTTCACTGTGCTATTTTCAAAGGTGAACCATTTTGCCAGCTCTTTACAGGGGTGAAACAATACAGCTCTATCCCCCATGGTTTCTGTGGAGGACTGCCTCACAGAGCTCAGGCTGATGTCTTCATTATGGGTTTTAATTTTGTTTTATTTTAAAACAAGATGCCATCAATTGGTATTATTTGTCACTCAACATTGTATATTTAGGAGAGGTAAGAGAATAGAACAAACAAACAAGGCATCTGGAAAATGGGAATTGTAGACAAGATACTGACAGCTGAGGATCTGCCATGTTAAACCTAGCCTCATCTGCTATGGAAGTTTCTGTATTTCAGCAGTTTATTGAAGTCAGTTAACCTGTTTGGCATTTTTAATACCGTCATTTTGTTAGTACTTTTATCTGTTATTTTATAGACCACAAAAAATATGGACTTACTAATTTTTCTCAGTCTTTCCTAAGTTCCTTATCATGATATTAATTCCCAGTATTTCACATGTATTAATGTACTTATATTCAACAGAATGAACTTTTTTTTAAATGGGAAAAGTGAGGTAGTAATTGAGTCTTTCTCAGCATGTATTAGTCCATGTCATCCTTAAAAAAAAACAACAAAAAACAAATGGATTAAGTGGTTTTTAAAACATTTAGTTCAAATATGATGCTTTTTTTTTTTGATTCGTGATAAGAAGAATTGTCTTTGACAAGCCAAGAGGAGAATGATGGGGGATAAAGTTTCAGGGTAGCCTGAGGACTGTGAGCTCGACAAGTGTATGGAGAAAGCAGCAGTGCTGGGAGTGGTGTCACCAACAGCCTGGTTTGGAGAGATCTGGAGGGAGACAGAAGGACTTGACTGGTTATGGAGTTTATTTTTCCTTCTGTCCTGTCTCATCTCATTCCATTCTTTGAAACAACATATGACAGTGCGAGACAGTGTTGCTTCAAAAAGAAAGCTGGTAAAATTAGTTTTGACAAATTTAGTGTAATTGATCATTCATTTCGCTTTTGTTGATATTTACCTCAACAGCAATTTAGTAAAATTCACATAATGCCAGATGAACTTAGTTCTAATCACCATTATATGCTTGGCACTTTAAAGAAAGTCATCCTAAAACTGTAAACAATAGGGAACAACATTGAACAAATAAAAATTTATGTATATGTGCACACTCTACCATAATGGAAGTACGTCTCTGTCACTGTGGGCTTTGTGATCTTCAATGAGGACCCAGCCATGACTCCTGATTTTTTTTTTTCTCCAAAACTTAGTAAAAAATTTAAGAACACACAGATGGTTTCTTTCTTTGAAAGAAAACAAATCTCTTGAGGGGCTATATTTACTTAATAATTAAAATGTGAGAGTTTTTTCAGTTGATATTACTGGGATCAAGAATGTTGGTTTTAATTACTAAAGCACAAGTTTTTTTTAATTATTGCTTAAGTAAAATAGATAAGGATACAGCACTTAGAATTTCAGAACCAACTAATGCAATTCTGCCACAAAGAAGCTAATGTTCTGTTATGTAGAGAGGCTCTTCATTTACACACAGACACTGCAATTGGAAAAATTTATTTTAACACAATATTTTTACATTCTGGTGTTGCTTCAGGTATGTTTTTTTTAATGCAAAATTAAATTCAAATGGCCTCTAATAATTGATAAATTTCTGACTGTTACTTTGTATCCACAAAAGACTGAGAAAATAAAAATATATTGTATTTTATTATCTGTTACATTGGTTTAATATTTTTTTTATTCAGTTCAGAGTTTCTATTCTCTTTCATAGGTCTCCAACCATGGCCGGTGGATTATTTTCTGTGAGCAAGAAGTACTTTGATTATCTTGGTTCCTATGACACAGGAATGGAAGTCTGGGGAGGAGAAAACCTTGAATTCTCATTTAGGGTAGGTGGCTTAATTGAAAGTTTCTTTTCCTCAGAATACAACAAGTTCCTGTTTCTTTCTTCATGCCCTTTTACTTAATGAGGTAGCTAAGTGCTAAGAAGGGAGCATTTAGGGAGTATCTTGTTCTTGCACTTCAGGATCACTGTACTTTTCTTCCAAATAGCCATTTTAAAGCAATTTTTAAATACATGTCTTTGTTTTGAGCTCTAGTATAAAATGTAAAAAAGGGCTGTGATACTAGTGGGTGAAGTTTACATCCTGCAGCTTGAAGGAGGTCATGGGGAAGAAGATTTGTAGTGCTTTGATGTGACTCAGAGTTCTTGCTCTGGTTGATGGAGCAAGCAGTTCCCAGCGGGGCAGCAGAAGGCAGCCCCGTACTAATTTTAAGGTCTTTTTCTGTTTCACCTCAGAAAAAGTTTGTACAAAGGTTATAAAAGGTGGAGGATCTCCAGTAACTGTAGAGTTGTGCCCACAGGAGGCGTGACCAAGTGCTCAGATGTGAGTCAGATAGCTGTAATGGAAAGGACTTACAGCAGGAAAAGAGAGCAGACACAGCACAGTCCAGGCTGATCAGCAAAGCAGAGTTCTCCTCTGCTCACCTTTACCAGTGCTGATTCCCACTGAGCACTGGCTGCCTGTGCTTTACCCCAAATCACACTTAGCTCATTGAAGCCATCCAGTGGTGATGTAAGAGGGATGCCTCTTTTGGCTTTCATGGAGCTCACAGCTTCTTATCCTGGATTACCCTTGTCTGTTCTGCCCATCATCTGTTATTTTTGATGGTCATGTTTGCATTTCTCTGAGTCATTGACTCATGGTTCAGGAGGATTTTTGGATTTTTTACCAGGTGACAACAGATTTCAAGGTTAAATAGCATTTTAATGTTACAAAACCACTTAGGAATATTATTAGGAATAACAAAATTATTAGGAATAACAAGCACAGGCTTAGAGTTGATATGGTTTCTCTCTGGAGGAAGACTTGTCAGCTGGAAACGCTCTTCAATCTGAGTTCATGACCACGTCCTTTTTCACCTAGGGAACAGTTTCTGGCACGTAAGCCCAAACACAGCCTAGTCAGTAGTCTTGGTCTAGTTCAGCAGGCCTCCACCTGAAGGGAGAAGCAGTTCACCCACCTCCATCAGCCCTGGAACCTTCTGAAGCAGGAGTCTCTGGTGTACCCAGAACTTCAACTCCTTGAAGAAAACCTCTAATATGGCACATTTGGCATGCAGTTCTTGGCTTCCTGTTCTTTGTGTCTTGCTTTTGGGGAGACCAAGGCTTGCATGCAGCATGACCCTTCCTTTTGGCTCAGAGTGCCCCAGTCCCAGCTGCTGCTTTAGACCCACCCTTCCATTGCCATTGACCTCTATGAAGCTCTGGCAGCCAATCTCATTTTGTACATCACAGGTTCCCCTGAGCCAGGGCTCCCTGGGATGCAGCAGCATGTGTGAGCAGTGCCTTTACTCCTTCAGCATGCAGGACAGAGGTTTCTCATGGGAGAGAGGAAGCCTCAGAGGTGGCCTAGCACACAGGAGAAGCACAAAGGGAGCAGCAGAGTCCTCAGGAGAGAGTGCACAGACACTCTGCAAGGGTCTAAGCCAGCATGTAGGTGCAGGTGGTTCAAGCAATTTCTGGGAGACAAATGATTTAACAGGACAGGCTGTGCAATGGCCAACAAATATGCCTGGCCAATTTTCCTAGTGCAGATTGCCAGTAGCATCTGGGTATTTGTACGCAACATGCTTTGCTCTGTTTGATTTGGAGCCCTTGTACTTGTGCTCTGTGTGGAGAGGATTTTTGTGGAACAGAGCAGAGTGCTATGATGCTGTTTAACTGTGTTCTTTTGGCTGCCTGCAGTGTTCCAAGAGGTCGGAAGGGATAAATCATTGTTAGTGTTGTTGTCCTTGTGTTTTCTAAACCTGTCAGACCTGAAAATTAGGAGCAGAACTACTCAAAACTGCTGTAAATTAATTTATTGTTGCTCTCGTCTCTGAAAACACCACTCTCTCCCAATGACATGAAAAGACTTGTCTTCAAGCCTCCTCTTTCTTGCACTTCGATTATTCTGAGCTGAAGAAATTCTCTGTGGTTTTGAGAGGTGCAACAAGGACAAAGCTTTCACTAAAAGCACGATGACTAAGAGAGATGGAGGCTACGTGCTGAATGCAGAATCGAGTCAATGTACCTTGATTTTGGATTGCTTAATGCTATTTGGCTGGATAAGATTTCACTTCATGGGCATAATGGGCATTGAAACTCCTCTTTCTGAGGGATTGAAAACATGCTCTTTCATCTTCTCCCTCTTGTACTCAGAGCAAAGGGAACCTGGTTGCAGCTTCTGTCCCCTCTCTGCTCTTGGTCCTGCAAGTGGCACTGCAATGTAAGTTTGTTTCTGGACCAAGGCTTAATATGTCTGTGGTCTGTCCTTCAGCCTACCATGTGCAAAAAGGTCTTTATTCTCAAAAATGTTCCTGCCCATGAGCCTGGGTTCCTGCCTCAGAACACCTGGGGTCTTCTCTCTTCCAGTATTTTTGTATTGTTTCTTTTTGTCTGGATCTGGAACTCTGTCCTGTGTTGAGAGCAGCCAGGGTGAGTCTGTGTGTCTGGAGTGCCTCTCCACCCACCCAGCTTCCGGCAGATTGTGCATGAGCGCCACACTGGGGGCTTAGCCACAACTTGTCAAGAAAAAATTGCAGCAGAGAGAGAGCAGCAGAAACATGGGGTTTTCCACATTTTGCCCCTTTTTAGGATGTAGCATCCTTTCTATATTTTTTATTTCTTCCAGATAGTCTTAAATTGTTAGAATGAGCTGGTAGAGCTTTTATTCTTTAGTATTCATTGACCCAGCACAAGGTCAATTGTCCAGAGAGCCTGGCAGGGAGAGCGATCCCAAGGTGAGATTGTGAACATTTTCTGTAGGTTTTCATAATGCCACCATCTGTCTCTGAAAGCAAAAGAAAATACGCCGATAGTCTGCATGCATCAAGATGAAAGTGAAAGTGAAAAAAGGAATGTCACCTTGTTTTCTTATTGAAGTGGAGGAAAAATGTGTGCTTTTATAATGAGAGCTGTGAGTTACCCAGACCTAGTAAAGAAACAGATCTACATGTACGTGAGCTTGCAAAATATGCATGAAACTTATGTGCTTTTCTGTTAGAGAAGGTTGAACTAATTTTATGGAGAATCTTCTGCAGAGCCACTTACTTAACATTTAGTAATCAACTTTAGTTTCTCTATTAAATTCCTCGCTTTATTTTATGGCTGTTCATTTGTACCTGATTCTATGTAGAGGTCATAATTTTTCCATATTAATGAACGTGAATAAACAATTCCTTTTGAGGAATTGTTTAGCTGAAGTATATTCAATTTTCTTTTGTAATAGGATGACAAGATAATTTTTGTAATGTTTTTATGAAATACTTAGAATTTAATGAGCATTGCTTAGCAACCTACAGTTATTTTTTAGAGAGCTTTAATTATTAAAAATTCAGCTGTTATGGAATTCTCTTTTTGTCATCAATTTAGCAGAGGTATGGTCAGTTTGTTTCATTCCTTTGAAATCAGACTTTATCATGGAAGAGCTGAAGCATGTGCTTCCTTTTTAACTACATTTTTATTTCAGTAGTCTTTATCATCTGTTCCTAATATATTTTTTGGAAGTAGATAAATAAAGATGAATTAATAATTCTTATGTGGAATATAACATTGGAAATTTTTAAACTAATAAAATTATGGCTCTTAATATTTGCTGACAAATCTTGAATGGTAAATTGAAGCTTTAAAAAAATAATTTTGAACATAGAAATAATAATTATGAAAAATGTTGTTTTGAAATAAATCTCAAAAAAGTAGGTTGTAAAGTGAAAGTGGATAGTTGGTTTCATAGCAGCTTTCAAAATGCAGTAAAGTAACTTATCTAAGAAAATATGCAAATTGTTTAAAAGATTAGTACAGAATTCTAGATTTTTTGTATAATTCCTTTAATCATCTTTGTTCAAATGACAAATATACTGCTTTTCTGAAAAGCAGCAAAAAAGAGGAAAGAAACCTCACATGGAAAACAAGAAATTAAAATTTTAAATCCAGGAAGTAATAATTATCCAATATTTCCTATAGCTGATTAATGATTTACTTATATCTTTAAAGAAACTCTCTGTTTTAAAAGTAAACATATGTATTAGAGTGCTTACACTTTGGTAATTAAATATAGCATTGTGCCATGCAGAAAGTCTGATGTTGTTATCCAAAACCAAATCAATGGAGATGACACTCATTGATTTCCAAATTTAGAAATTTTAGAGAAATTCTAAGTAACTTAAAATAAAAAAAAAACCCTAAAAGTTAGCAGTCTAAAACCAAGTCCTATCTTGTGTGAGTTGAGAACCTTTATCTTTTTAGATCCCTAAAACTCCCAGAGAGAAAGGTAGGAAAAGTCCCACCACTGATCTTTTGGCACTGTTAGCAGCAGAGCTTTTATTTGCCACCTCATATCTTTCACTCCTGCTGTATTTATTTGGATAGCATATAATTAAAAATGTATGTCTTATACAAGAAGATCGTCAGGGAGCAAACCTCTACCCCTTAAGCCTATCCCAGCTAATTTCCTTTGTCTTCCATTTACAAAGGAATGATGAGCTGCCACTTATGCATGGTTGAATACATGAGGAGAATTCTAAATCTTTTATGGAAAGTCCATCAGAGCCATTGGTGACAGCCTCAAGTTAGTTCAAGTACAGCAACATCTCTGGCCTTCCTCCCATCTGGCAAAATTTCAAAAACCTTGTTTCAGGCACCCTTCAGAAACAGGGCATCTGCCATGGTGTGGTCACACACAATATTGAATAGGAAATGCATAGCTCTGCTTTCCTTTCAAGTAATCAAACTTGCGATCGGAATGGGTGATGGGAAAGTGGCTGTGTAGATGAGCTGCCAAAAGTCCTTGGTTTTCGGAGGTGAAGAATGTAATTACAAAAATGTGTAAATAGTGCTGAGGCTAATGGATCCACTTGATGGTTGTTTCTGGACCTTATCTCATGGCCTGTACATTTCCCAACCTGGGGAGCCAGAGAAGCAGGAGCCTGAGCACAAGGGCAGAGTGATGGTTTGCAGGGATCTGCCAATTCCACATTTGGGTGCAAGTAATTCCTTGGCATCAAGCAGGAATATTAGTTTAGATAGGGGAGGTTGTTTCATTGTTGTTGGTTGGACCATCATAAGTTATAGAAGTACTTTGCTTTTTCTTCTCATGTACTGGGTCTGGGGTACATTTCCCAGCTTTCCAATGGAAAAGGTTAGTGAGATTTTATCACCAGGCACCTATGCCGCCCTTCTAGATTGGTGAATGTACAAATGGGAAGCTTACCTTTGCCAAGTCATCTTTCCAGTAGAATATATAGATGGTACATAGAGCTATAGATTTCTAATAAGAATTAGTTATCAGTTACTGGTTTCTTTCTGAGATAGCTATTTATGTGGTTAATTTGAAAAAGAAACATGCTTCTTTTGTCTTTTAATTTATTTTTTTTCAATAATGCCTGCATTACTTGTATAGTAGATCACATCTTATCATGAGAAAATAAAACTAAGAAAGGAATATTGCACTTCAGATAAAACCAGAGAGTGATTATCTCCTTGTGAACTCAGAGCAAATTACTAAGAGCAACAAGGATGTAATTCTATCCAGTTTAGTCATCAAATGAGACACAAAATTATTGTATGTGTTACTTGTAGTGTGGTGTGGTGTTCTTGAGATGGTGTTGTTCTTACACAGGCTTATTGTTACTATATCATTGAGCTTGCAAAAGACAAAATTAATGATACACACTGTCAATTCTTTGCTCAGATATGGCAGTGTGGAGGAAGTCTTGAGATCCATCCTTGCTCCCATGTAGGTCATGTTTTCCCCAAACAAGCCCCATACTCACGGGTCAAAGCTCTGGCAAACAGTGTGCGTGCAGCTGAAGTGTGGATGGATGAATATAAACAACTTTATTACCACCGAAACCCACACGCTCGCCTGGTGAGTTCAACTCCATTGTTCCTGCAATTTCAGAATTTGTTTTCAACTTACTAACTATTGGCTAAGCTAATACTTAACATGAAGTGCTTTCTATGTTTATTTCTTATGCCTTCTGAAAGTTTTTCCCAGACATAGAGTAAGTGTATAATTTTTAATTCTTTGGAAAAAAAAATTTAAATTCTGTAAGAGTACAAGGTCGCCCAATCTATGTCAATAATAAGTGAAAAAATGAAGGAATAATATGAAGTGGGGTCATCAAAGCAAGGAGGAGTTGTTTAGCCTAAAATGTGCACTTCTGTGAAATGACTGATCCAGGACTCTCACTAAGAATTACGCAATTAATGAATGCAAATCACCAAGTTTCAGTGGACAGTAGACCTTCACGTAAACAGCATGTTAATAATATTTAGCAAAATTACCTGTCTTGTAAAACTTTGGACTGATGTAAACCAAAATAGATTTTTCTGTTTGATTTACTGCTGCACTGCATGTTCAGTTAAAAAAAAACCAAAACACCAACAAGTAGAAACCAAAATCAATATTGAAATGATTAAATTAATTAAAATCAGTCATGGCAACTCAGATGAAAATGTTCCTACTAAAAAGTTTCAAGTATCACTTCTGTCAGTTTTGAGGTTCTTTTAAGTTGATATTTTTATTTTCCTTGAAATGAAAATACAAGATCATTGGTTGCAGAATTTTTCAGGAAATTATTACTGTGAAAACTGAGTATGTCAAAACAGTAAAGCAGCGTGCAAACTCATAACTTGGACGTATTTATCGTTAGGGGCCTGAAGGCTGGAAAACAGTAACACTGGCATGTTCTCTCAGTGTCTAGAAATTAATTAAATGAACCTCTGTCACAAGGTCTGAAATTCAGGCCCCAGAGTAATCATTGCCTGCTGTTGCTTGTTTCTGGAGGTGCCTGGTTTCCCCAGCATGATCTCTTTGCATGAAGTTTTCTAAACGCTGCTTTTTTGGTTTTGTGCCTGGGATGGGCTGCTGGGCATCAGCCTCTGACTGCACTGGATCAGACCTGAGTGGGGCAGGGAGCCCCAGATCAGATCAGTGTGGGGCAGAGGGAGCCCCCCACTCATTTGAGTGGCCAACCCCTATAGATGCAGCAGGGGAAAACTGCCCTTGCAAACATGAGGCTTTTAAAAAATATGCTGGAGGATGTTGGAGAAGATGAATTTGGTTAGCTTTCATCTTGTGTTTGTTTGGATTAAATTGGGTAATTAGATCATTATAGTCCACACATTTGTAATAATTGGTTTACTTTAATGTCATAAAAACCATTTAGGTTTTATTATCGGAGTCTGACTTGGAGAGAAATATGGGATTTGCCCATAGGCAACGCCAGGCTGATTTCAGCTTGTCATACACAAAAAGAGCAATAAATGCTGACAATTTTTCTTGTAAAGTGCTGGGCATCTTATGTCTGTAATGACAGAGCTTTAACTTTAAGGGATATTTGTGTTAGTACTGAAAGTTTCATGTATTGGCTTATTGTAACACAGTGGATATAAGCTGAAACTCATGAGGGTTATTTTTCCACATATCAAAGCTGTTGCCAATGAACTTTGGTTTCCATAATGCTCTGTGCACCACTTGTTGCAGCAGTTGAGCTCAGACCTTTTTACTTCATCAAACCCAAATATTCAGTTCTGTAGCATACAGGAAAATGATTGATGTTATGGCTGCAAAAATGGGTTCCATGAAGTTTCACTTCAAGATTAATGTTCAGACCTCAGAGCTAATATGTCACGCTGTTTGTTTATTCAAACAGGCATCTCTGTTTTACATCTGCTTTGTGTTTTCAGTGGTATTTCCACAGCTCTGAGAAATGCAAATACGTTTGTGGTTTGATGAAAGACTCTGTCAAGTGACCTGTAAAAATCTGGGGGCTGCAAACGCTCTCTCATGCCTGACTATCTGAAATCCCTAGTCAATATGAAGATAGGGTTTTGAAGACAGACATAAAAAGACATGGACTCTGGTCCAATCCATAGACAGAAAAGTCTGCAATGAAAGCTTTTCTCTGGAGGTTTAAGATTTCACACTCCCCACCCCCCAAAATGGTGAAGTTCAAAGGATACATTAGCAGATTTCACAAATTTCATAACTTAAGTGTAGAACTGTACAGGTAATTTGCAAATGGACAGTGTTACAATTTAAAGTCCTAAAGATTCATTCACTGCTTTGGAGATTTTCAATTATGTATCTAAAGGAAGTCTCATTTTCCAGTACGCCTTCTCAGTCTCCAGCAATCTGTATTCAAGGGCTTCCTCACTTGCAGATTCAGGGAGTTTTCTTACACAAACTGTCTTCTAGAATATTTTAAAGTTCTACTTGCACAGTTCCAATTATTTTTTGTCAGCATTTAACAAATGTAAGGATAATGAAATCAAATCCAGCACCCAAACATGGTGATTTTTCCTGGCTAGAAGTCCTACTCATCACTGTAGCATACGGTTCCTAATAATGTATACAGATAATTTAAAAGAGAGCATCTGTTCTGGATTTTTTTTTAATTTTTTTTTCTTCCTTCCTTTTTTTTTTTTTTTCTTTCAGGAACCATATGGAGATGTGACAGAAAGGAGACTTCTACGAGAGAAGCTGAAATGTAAGGACTTCAAATGGTTTTTGGAGAACGTGTATCCAGAACTTCACGTACCCGAGGACAGACCAGGCTTCTTTGGAATGGTGTGTGGCTGCTGAGAAGGGAGCCTGCTTGCAGTTCTCTGAGCTCTCCTACTAAGTCAGTGTGAAGGTGTTTTTGTGCCTAAATCAGTTTGGGATTTTGGTAGAATTCACTTAAAACTGGTAGGCTTTAAAATGTGGTATTTATCAGAATCTTTATTTAAGGGAATGCTGTTTATGAAGGAGTTCTGTGACAGAGTAGGAGAACAGGTAATGTTGCTGTGGACTACTCCTTCTAAGTGACATCTTGGGACTGTTAAAGGCAGGAAAAGAGGAGATTTTTATTTCTCGAAACATTGTGTAACAAAAAGATAACAGTAAAGTGTTTTATTTTACTTGTTGAATTGAAAAGAAAAGGAGTCTGCTTTGAAACATATGTTCATACATTTTATCTGATGAAAACTATGATGCTCTGGTGATGGGAAAGAGAACTGGTGCTAAGTGCTTCCAGATCATAGGGGATTCTTTATATTAAACCAACATGTTAATTTTTAATCTGGAGGTCACTTTAGACCAACAAGGGCACAGGCAATAGTTTCAATCAGAATCCTCTTCTAAGAGCTGACAGCTCTTTATGCTCTTTGCAGCTTACAAAGAAATATAAACTATAGCTCTGTGTATATTACATTACTGTAATCTCATCTGGAAGGGATGAAGGCAGAGATGATGCAGCAAGTAGCTGTTTCCTCTGAAAAATCCCCTCTCTTCTCTCTACCAGCTGCATGTTAGGAACACAAAACTGCACCTTTCCACCAGGCAAAGATGTATCAAATACCTTCCTAATTACCAAATGCCACATCGACTTAAAAGTACTTTTGCTGGTAACTCAATCTCTCTGCAGATCCAGCTGAGCTGCATTCCCACACTGCATCATCACATCCAGCCCTTGTCTTGCTACCATCTGCTCTTCCCCAAGTTACTCAGCCTCTGCTGAATCTCCTTCAGGAAACGGGGAAAAAAAAATCTGATCTCTGTGGACATACAAAACATTCAGAAACAAAGTCTCCCCGCAGTCTGCCCTAATAGCTTTGTAACTTGTTGAATGAAAAAGATGCTAATGTGGAAATGCTGTGGTTTCCCCTGGGGAAAACTCGGCCCCTGGGGAGCTGTGGGAGCTCCCCCAGGGAGGGGAGCAGTTGTCAGAAAAGCCCTTAGGAGCCTCTGGGAGAATTGCCAGCCCCCTCCATTTGTCTTGGAGCTTGCAGGAGAGGTGATATCTCTCTGATCAGTGGCATGAAAGGTGCTACCCACCATTATCCAGTACCTTGAACAAACCCTGGTACAATGCTGGTTCTGTTTTTGCTCTTTTGTTCTGTGTTGCCACTGGCAAGTTCTGAGACAGTTGAAGCAGTAAAGTATTATAAGACTTAGCTTCCAGGAGCATTTCAGGTACTTTATCCTTCCCTCCACCTCCATCCTTCTCCCTCCAAAAGAAAGGGTTAGACTGGTGCCAGTGATAGTGAAGAGAAGGGATTTGTGCAGTTTCTTTCATGATTTAATTGTCATCTTCAGGCAAGGAGTTGACAGTACCTAGAAATAATAACTCTTGTTCAGAGCTGCTTGAGGTATCTAGAGTGTAATTTAGGTGTGCTCTATATATTTCTCTAAAAACAATTCATAAATGCTGTCATCTAGTTGTGAGCATAATGAGAATACGCCATTTTTGGGGGGGAGGAGGAATTTAAAATGTGATGGAAATATGGTTGTACTCTGAGAAATCGGGAGTGCAGAAACGACACCTACTGATTCAGCTGATTTGTGGATATTGAGTCCCATCTGCTAGCTTCAATGAATCACTAATCTTGTTCTTTACTCCCGCCTTAGCTGTGTAGGGCTTTTCTGCCTCACAAAAATACTGTATTTAAAAGTGTCAGCTTTGATAACAGCTCAACTTAGTGTGAGGTTATTTAATTGTTCAAGGAGAATACAAGGGAATATGGAGATTTTTACCTCCCTTAAAAATCTTTTTACTTTTGAACTGAAGTTAAAAATATTTCTAAGATTACCTGTAAGTCAGCCATGTGTTATTCAGACGGAGTCAAGAATTAATGAGCAGCATTCAGTGCTGTGCACTGGCAAGCAGCTTCTTATGCTACATTTTTTTTCTTGATACATAGATAAAAATATCCATACTACCTACCCTTGGTTATCTAAAATGCTAGCTGCCTCAAACTTTACTTAAACATACTGAATTATGAACCTTTTTGCCTGAGATATGATTGCATTCCTGCAAACTGCCTGGCACCTATAAAAGAGATAAATATCTTCTTGCTGCTCCTTGGGCTTTGTGCAGCTTTGGAACTTTGTGGGACATGAACCTTCTGCCTTGAATAATTTCTTTGAGGGGGCAGGAGGAAGTGATGCTGGTGGGCACTCAGTGGGTTAAAACAATATGTCAGCACTTCTGGAAAGGCTGATAATACCTTTTAGGCCCTGGTGTAGCACACTGATGTGTATTTTTCTGGCACAGCCTCTGATTTGGCCATCCTTGAGCATGCTACGAGTAGGTAGGTGTGAAATTGTAACAAGGCTTGAGCCCCAGCTCTGCAGAAATTGCCCACCTGGACAGCAGAGACTGGGCCAGCTTACAAATCCTAACTACCCTGGGAAGGGATGGTGTTTGAGTCTGTAGGAAGAGCTTTGAGCCAGCTGGTGTGCTCAGCATTGGTGTGGTGACATCTCTGCAATGTGCAGCTGGGTGGAGATAGAGGAGCTGGGCAGCTCTGTGCTCTTTCCGTGTTATGGGTGACTGTGGAAAGGCATGGCTGCAAAGCAAGGCAGGAGTCAGGGCTCTTCTCTCTTCTGAGGTGTGTATCACGTATGGCTGGCATTGAGGTGCATATCCAAAGATAAAGATTAGGGTCAATCAGTGAATTTGGCTTTAAGTTTGGCATCAAGATTGCTTTTAAAAAACAGCGGTGACACAAAAATCAGGATTTTAATCTAATTTTCTGTAAGTTTGATCACTTGCTGGTGAGACCATACTATGTTCTGACATGGTAAGTTTTTCTTTGCTCTCGGTTTCTAGCTGATATTTCTTTCAGCTGAATGTAAAGCAACTAAGCTGATAGATGTCTTGTGCTGGGACTTTCTGTCTGGTCTCTCTTTCTGCCTTCTATCACTAAAGGCATCTGTTTCTGACTGAGTCAGTCGGGAAGTCAAAAAACTTGAATTTTTCTTTTGACAACTCCTTCCCTATTGTCCTCCAAGACCACCTCATCTTCCTTTTCAAGTCCTCAGTCATAATTTTCTTTTAATTTAGACTAGATATAATCCTAAAAAAATTGGAAGGAAGATTTTAAACTATGCCTTTAAAACTTTGAAGAATTTTGTTTTGCTGCAACATGAAAGAGAATTTAAAATTATTTAAATTATCTAAAGAACACATATGTTTGGACAGGCTTGCAGAAGAATACAGCTATGTGCTTTAAATTACATAATCAAAGACATTGCATGATTCGTGCTTCAAGTTCTCAGAGGTATCAGGGTCCCTTCTCTAAGGTATACCTCTAAAACTTCATTATAATCCAATTTGTAGAGCTGCCACTTGACGTTGACTTGGTAGCCAAGATTAGGACTGACTAGACCTGGAGACTTTTGCCAATCACAGGAAAATATGCACCACTTGGTTGGCTCTGAAAAGCCTCTGAAAGCTAGGCAGAGGCTTTTTAAAAGGAATTTCTGGAAGAAATTCAAGTGTTTGGTAGTGAACACACCATTGCTTGAGCCACATGCTTATACGTTTTTGAGCTTCCCAGGGGGATTTGGGCTTGCTGGGGTGAGCCAATGAATCCAGCAGCAGTGTGTCACCTTCCTTCAGAGGGTTTTAGTCATCAGTTTTGTATGCCCTTTTCAGCATTGCCCTTAAGTTAACAGGTGATATGAAAATAGCATTTACTCAGTAGAATAATTTCCTGTGACTGCTTGGATTACCTTTGAGGTAAAAGCTGATGTTTGATCAGTACTAGTGAAGCTGTCTGGCTTGCTGCAAATTCATATCTTACTGCATCCCACAGTATCATCTGTCCATCTCACTAATAGATCAGCTCCACTGCCACTGGCAGAATAAAGAGGATTCTGATCTATTTTGTGGATGTCAAGAAAGGTTGGCAGGGCTCCATTGGCTGTACTTATCAACTAATGTAATGAAGTTTTAATGTCAAAAATCTGTTGTTGATGGTTTGTTTACAATGCACTTTATCAAACTAAGACTTATTCATAGAATGCCAGCTGTATTGTGTAGTTATATGCAAGCGTCCAGACATTAGGAAACAATAGATTGAAATATCTCCTAGCAGTAAGGGTTAAGGTCTATGGTGAATATCTTGGTGTTTATTACCTATGTCAGCCTCCAAACAGTGGTAACTAAATGGCACAGAGAGTGACACCTGTAGTTTCAATAACAATGTTTCAATATGAAGCAAATGCTGAAAAAACCACAGCCAATAGTCCTGCATGGGTAGGTGGTTTTAGATCTGAACAATGTGTTTTAATGGCAAGGTGATCAACATTTTTTCTTGCTTCTGTTTCTCTAATGCAGCATTGTGCAAAAGAAGTAAGGTAAGTCACACAGAAAATTTTATTCTCGTTGCATGACTTGTTTATGGTGGATGTGGGAATAAACATAGCTTCAGAAATGAGTGGGTGATCACTGTTTTGATAGAGCTCTTGCACTCTTGCACATAAAAGATAGTTAAACTGTATATTTTCATTTAACAAGAGAAAAATATTTCACAAATTCTCGTATACTTTTTGTCTGCCTTGGAACAGAGGGCAGGTGTGTATCTTTGTTTTTTTGGGTTTTTTAAATAAATGGTGCTGCAGTCAGATTTTCAAATTTTTCTATGTCATTTCAGATCAGGTAATTTAAAAGCTTAGAATATACTATTCCCACTAATTAGGTCTTGAATACTTATTGGCTTCCTGATGAAATGTGGGCATATCTACCAATGTCTGACAAAATAAAAGAACCAGGTGAACAACATGGACCATGTACATGCAGGAAAATGTCAGCATGTTTCACAAGCTGACATTTCATTTATGCATGAAAGCGAAAAAGGAGAGAACATACATGGTAACACCCTAGAATACAGCCTCATTTTCAAACCATCTGATATGAAACTTAAGTTTAGTAAGCTTTTACATATCTTTTTGCTGTGTATATTTGGGCATTGAGTAACATGCATATGAGAGTTACTGTAGTTCTGGTGATGCAGGGCATTTTCAAACAGATTATTTAAAATTTCCCAAAAGGGAGCTCACACTTGAGCATGTGCCAGGGGCTGATGGCAAAGAGCACTAGGGAAGTCATTGGGCTGCCTGGAAGGGCACCATGGATGAGGGCTTTGCTGCCCTTGGAGCCAGTAGACAGTCAGGCAGAGTCATATGTTATTAAACCTACTAATGGGAGACCCTCTGGTCCTGAAGACAGCTGCTGACAACAACAATTGTAGAGATAAAATTACCATTTTAAGTGGTTATGACTTTTAGGTTGATGTTTCCTGATGTAGAATGTAGAAACATGAGAAGCTTATTGTTTGGTTTATGTAGTTCCATGGCAGTGTTAAAAATAGTCTATGTAAGACACTTCTCTTTCCTGTTTTTCTAAGTGTAATTCTTGGCTCCCATTAGGAAAGTAAACAAAATGTTTTATTTTGGCTGTTCAAGGAGAGTTGCAGTGGTCTAATGTGGGAGTGAGCACAAGGCAGTGGAAAGATGATGTTGGGTAACAGTAAAAGTAGAAGTTGGCAAAGCAAACATATATAGAATACAAGTATTTAATTTTCTAGCTTGTGTGGTTTGCTCTGTGGTGGGTTTAGGCCCCGCAGGGTTTGTCTTGTTTGTTTAGTTCTAGCCGCCTGCAATCCCTGTGTGTCCGCTCATTTTCCACATTAAGAACTCTGGATACGATTATCATGACTAGGGAAGAACAGTGAAATAACACCTTGCTGAACTAACTCTTCTGAGATTTACTCTGCCTATTCTTTTTGTCTGTGATATAATTACACTCAGTAACAGGGGCATTCAGCTTCTTGTTTACAGAACCTATTCTGCTCTGTGTGTTTTCAAATTTGGTTATGTGGCTGATACCAGGAATCAGTGGCTATGTGATTGTTTAACTTATTTTTAGTTACTTTTGCCTCCTGAATACTTAAATGAAAATCCTTGATAACTAGCCTGTTGTTTTTAAAATTAGCTAACTTAATATTTTAAAATTTTATGTAGAAGTTATGTACCTCTTCTGTCAGAGATCAGCAACATGAGTCAATAGCATTTAATATCACACCATAATAATATCCCTTTCCAAAGATATATTTTGCCCACTTTCAAAATTTCTGATCCTAAAATCTGTCTGCTTGTTCTGCCTCAAGAGGGTACTGGAGTCCTTTTGAGAACAAATCCTCCTAACATTTCCCATTTGACAAACTGAGAAAAGTATGTAGTCATCTTTTCATAAGAAAATTGAACAAGTAGATCCTGGGGGAAAAAGGCATGGCAGACTCTTTTGTTCTGCATGAGTTGCTGGCTTGTTGGGTTTCAACACACTTTTTCATAGTTTCTACCCACTTCCTTTGCAAATACATTGGAACACAGTGTCATTCCTAGGGGAAGCCATCATGTCTGGCTGCTTGAGAGCTCAAAGTCAAGATGATCCAGTTTTATTTCATATTAGTCTGAGAGATATTACCATTGCATCCCTTTGATCTATTCCCGTTGCTTTGCACTAGCTTTGGGATGGATCTCAGAGCCCAGCAGGATGAGTGTAGAGTGACTACAGAATATGTTCCTTACTTCAGACTAATATTTTAAAATGTTCTTTTGTTTTGATTAGCTGAAGAATAGAGGAATGGAAAACTTCTGCTTTGATTATAATCCTACAAATGAACATCAAGTAACTGGACAGAGGGTCATACTCTACCCATGCCATGGCATGGGACAAAATCAGGTAAGAATAATGTTTTATTGTTATTTTGACTAACATTTAGGGTTGTAATGTAAGGAAGTATGGTAAAGTCACTGCAGTAGGGTTGAGAGAATGTGTTGCCGCAGTAAGGTGATCTTAGTTTGAGTTTTGATTCTTGCACTAAATGCTTTTTATTTTGATGTATCTTCAGGTCAGATTTTCTTCATTCTGAGGATGTGTCTACCCAGCCCAGGAAACTCATGCATACCTTTATTATGCCTTTCCACAGAGCTCATTAGCAGGGGTTAATGGCACATCACTGCAGCTATAGTGCTCACAGGCCAGTGTTCACTCAACTCCAAAACCCCTCTGAGCTTCTCTCTGTCCATGCCTCTAAAGCCCTTAATAACATTGGAAACCTCACCTAGTTCCACCTGGGTGTGTCATCATGTCTCTTCCTCATGATGCTTGTCTAACTACCCAAGAGATTTTGGCCACATCTTCTCCTGTCCTTCTACAGAAATCTCCTCCTTGCTTGGGCTCCACAGTCCAGGAGAGCAGGGGTTCTCTTTAACGCTGTCATTCTTGCTGTCTTGTTTTTAACTTCTGAATATGAAAATGCTGTTTTCTTTCTCTATGTTGACTGAACCTGTGCACAGCAGTTGTTAGTTTTGATACCTGTAAGCCTCTCTGCATAATGGCATGGTAAAACTGTTGTGGGGTACTGTGTGAATGGCTAGAATGGCTGTTTTTGCATAGTTTTGAGTGACCACCTTCCAGAATTGAAGTTTGATATTTGATGTGGGTCATGTACTTGCCTGTCTATCTTGATTTTTGGCTTCTAATCCCGATTAGAGTAAACACAGTACTTGAGATACGGTCTCATCAGTGCTGAGTACCAAATGTCTTGTGAGACCTCTTGTGCATAACCCTGTGACAGCTTGGGTGGCTTGACTGTTTAGGTCCTTTTTTAGTGAAATTAATCCAAACATTCAGTTAGGATTGTTTGGAAAAAGGAAAAAAGGGAAAACAAAGTTTGGAAAAAAAAGAGAGATGTGACAGTTAAACAGAGTATCTGCTGTCGTTCTGAACTCTGCTTAAAAAAACAAACATAAAAGCTCAAGGAGTGTAGAACAAATCTGTATTGGGGAGAAGGCTTCTGATATGAATTTCACTTTACATGAGAAAGGGGAATGAAAAAGCAATGTACCTCAGATCTTAAGAGGAAATAGATTTGCTGCTGATAGCAAGTTTATTGCCTAAATTATTATAACTGTTATTTAGTATTATTTATTAGCTCATGTCTGGTTTATGTCTTAGGTTTCATAATATTTCTGTCCTTAAGGCCAAGGTGCAGGGGAAGGCAGGGGGAGAATCTTGTACGATAAAAGCCAAAGGACCTCAATACTGACAGATGGATACCAATTATGCTAAGCCCCACCTCACCCTGTTTACTCCCTCAGTTCAAATTCTTGCAGAAGTTAAGAATACTTCTATAGATCTCTATAGAGAAGTTAATAATCAGATAACCCAGTCAAGTCACTTTCTTATAAGTGACTTGATAGCTTTTGTAGATTAAGAAGCAAGTAATGTAGAGGATTACATGCTAAGATGCCAAAGGTATTTATAGATATATTTTTCCTTGTATTGCAGATTACAGAGAGGAGAGGGGTTGCATTTTTTTTTTCATTTCTCTGAGCAAAAAGAGTTAGCTTAAATTTTATCTCTTTCCCCAAGAAAGAATAAAGAAATAAGATAAAAGGTGAAAGCAGAAGAGAAGTACAATTCAGAGACAAATTGTCATGGTTTTACAGTTATCCTTTGTTTAGCTAGCACTAGGAGATTAGCCTAAGAGATTAACTGAATTTACTGCAAGATATCACATCACTGGCTATTAATGCTCTTCCATCTCTGCTGATGGTGCATCCGTGTACCTGCGGTGGCAGGCGCCGGGCTGGGAGCAGCGACACTCTGGGAACTGTGCACACCACTCCCTCTGCTGGCACCCAGGCAGGAGCAGGAAGGAGAAGTGGAGAAAGCACCTGACTGCAAAGTAAACCAATAAAGGAAAATATGAGATGACTCGAGAGAACTGCAGAGCCTGAGGAGGGAAGGCCAAACACAGGAAATGGGTAAAACAAGATTAGCGAAATGGGCCAAAAGGCATGGGGGGGCTGGCAGGAGCCAGGCAGAAAGGGCCAAGGTGACAAAGGCAGTAGTAGTTTGTGACAGAGGTTGAGCAGCAGGTGATGAGCAGGGCATGTGTGACACAGGGAAGAGTAGGACAGGGAGTGGACCAAGCAGAGTCACTGGAGAACATTTTAGTGGAAAGGGGCATGGTGACTGAATGAGGGAGCTGAGATACCAGCTGGCAAAGGAGGACATGAGTAGGGGTGATAGGTAGTTGCAAGAGAACAAGTGGACAGCAGGAAGAGTTGTGTGTGGGAGAACAGAGGAAGACTAAAATAAGACAAGATGTAAAAACACAAGTGAGGTGGGAAATGAAGTTGGGGTTGCTGGACTTGCAGCTCCCTTTTCTGGCTCACAAATAGCTGTGAAACCTACCAGCAGGACATTTCTCTCCATTTCTTTCCCATCCCACCACCTTCTTGACAATCTGAAAAGGTAGCAGGCTGTTCCTTGTGGTGTGAATCCTTTGGCAGGTGACACTGTCAGAATCAAAACAGTCAAATCTTCCACATTTATGTCCATTGCTGTCTGCTGATGAAATGATTGTGGCAAGGTTTGGTCATCCTCTAGTTATAACAACAACGGAGTCTCAGAGATGTTTACTGACAGCAGGCAGCCCTTAACTTCTCTTTGGCCCCCTGGTAGGGAATCCACCATCCTAATCCCAAACTCTTCCTGCCTTTTTTCTGTGAGTTTGTTCTCGTCACTCCACTCATTACCTATATGGAGTTTTAACAGCAAGCCCTTATTCCAAGCTTTGCTCCCATTCCCTATCCCACACCTCAGGCAGGCGGCTGTTTATGTAGGGGACAACTTCAAAACTCTTTTCACTGGCAACAAGTCTCCACTTGGTGACCTCTGAATATCTGTGTGCACTGTGCCTGGAGGAGAGAGCACTGTGCTCTTGGTTATTTATAAGATCTAGCACCTGCTCCTGTTTTACATCTCAGTGAATAAAACCAATCTCAGAAAACTAAAGTTCCTGATAGTTTGTTGCTGTTTTTTCTTGAATCCACGGTCTAATTGAGAGGGTTTCTTTTACTCCTTTTGTGTGAGTGTAAGAAAACTAACTGGAGGGTTTTTTTTAAATTAGCATGTTCCTTATCACAAGAAAGGGAGGATAACACTGCAGTGTTAAGAGCTGAGTGTATATGGAAGAGAGGCAGGAAATACACAAAACACTGGGCACTGATTGCTTGTACCTCAGGCTGCTTATGTTTTGTGGGAGTATGTGCCCCACAGAGGAGAATGAAAGGCTTTGAAACTCAACACCAGTAAAGCCCTTTGCCCTTCCGGGTATGGCTGGGAAGCAGTACAGAGGGCAGCAATGTGTGATGGCAAGAAATCAGCCTGATGTGGTAAGAGGATGGGAACACACTGACTGACAGTGTTCTTCCCAGAATTCCCATTTGGAGCTGATACATTTGACATTAACAGTGAGAAGGAAACAAAGAAGTTAGCAAAGCCCTTGGGTTTTCAGCAAAAAAGAGTATCAGACCTGGTAACCTCTCTGCTGGTTCTACCCATCAAATGCAAACTTTTCCCTGCATGCAAAACAACAGGCACAGAGAAGGATGAGAGTGTGTTTCAGGGTCCAGTGAGGTAGCCAAAATCTGCTGCTGGCCCCAGTACCAGAGAGACACTGATGCAGCTGAGACATATCCTGTAGATTGTCCAGAAACCAGAGACACTGGGTAAAAGGCCTCATCAAGTTTGCCAATAGCACTTAAGGGAATATTCTGATTCTCAGAAGGAAAGAAAGGCAGTAAGGCTACTAGTTACTGGGCTGTGAATCAGTTTGAAAATGCTTCCTTTCTGCTAACAGAATGCAAGAAAAGAGAACTAAAAAATGCTTTACCTTTTGAGGAGGAAGATATTTATTTCCTGTATTACTAGAGCTTGGAAAAGCCCAAAGCCTGAAGTATTTATTCAGTTTGAAGTGTAGGGTAATAAACTGATTATGTTCATTGGGCAACAAGGCAGGAGTGCTTGGTTGTTAGTACTATAACCCCATTCCTTGAAGCTATCCAGAAATTAACCATTTTACTTGCTCATCTTTGGAATCTGGTGCAAGTCCTTGAGAGACCATTCAGGAAAGCTATCAGTAGTAAGAAGTGCTCTGATCTAGAAGCTGCTCCATTTATTCTTGGCACATCTGGTACAGTCAGCAGCTTGCAAGCTTTCACTTATACAAATTGCTAAAGAGTTATTATATCTAATACATCCCCTAACAAGCAAGGCTCTAAATATGGATTTGTGAAAGTGGCAGCTGTAAAAAGTGTCCATCCACACACAACTGAGCAGAACTGAGGCTTTTTCTTTATTCACAAGCCATAGGATTAAAATGTATGTCTCTGTAGCTCACTGTGGTGCCCAAAGTAGCGGGTTTTCCATGTGTCAGTCAGATACTGAACCTGGGAATAAAGCCTAAAGGCCAGGGAGTAGCTGCTGCCTGTTAGGGTAAATAATAATAATAGGACCAATATTCACACAATTTACTTTTGTTGTTGATGAGATTTTTTGTTTTTTGCACATGGCAAATGTAAAAATAGTGCAACCTACGTTGTAGCAACAGATCTTAGCAATAGGTTTCAAGGGAAAATCATGGTCTCCGGGGTCTTATGTCAGCAGGGAGACTTCAAACCTGATGTTGCTTTCTCAAAAACACTCATTTCCCTTTGTGGCTTACCACAAATGAATGGTGGCAAACAGGTGAATTCTGGGGGGCAGGGGGGAGGGCAGGGGTCAGTCACTTGCATCATTGCTGGGAAAAAAAAGCCATGAGGCTCCACAGGGTGATGCAATGGGCAGCATTGGTCGGTGTATCGCTGTGACAGCCACCTTGACAGAGAAATTCCTGATTGTGATATTAGGAGGGGCAGATTTCATGAAACAACTACTATCAGTGTAGTCCAGATCAGAGGTCTTACACTTGGAAATGGATGGCTGAAGATTTTGTAATAGCTCAGTCCTGTTTATACTGAAACTCCACTTCCAACTCCTCATCAAGGTTATTAGCCCTGGTGGTTGTTAAGGATGTTTTTGTGGTAAGTTCAAGTATGAACATTTCTGAATTAGTACAGCCCCCTTCACAAAGCCTTACAGTCTCCAGAGGGGAAACAAAACAAAAGAGGATTCCTTCTCTCCCTCATCCTTTTATTGGTCTCTGCTAATGCAGCTGTACTATGGGTAATAAGCAATTTTCTGATGTTTATACAACTCTCCTCTACTTTATTGAGTATAATTTAAATCAGATCTAAACACACATCCGTGCACTATAGTCATCTAAATTTTTTATAAGCTTGCTAAATACAAACAACTCTCCAACTCTGCCACTCTTTAATGAAGTCCAAAAGTTGGCAAATGTTCATGATAAGTACACAATTTTAAGGAAGTTTTCAACCATAACTGCTACAGAAGCCAGGAGTTTCAGAGCATGTTCATAACATTTCTGTAGAATATCGTGCAACAAGTAAAGACAGTAAATTGGCTTTAATGAAGTTTTTTCATGTTTAAAAGCAGCTGTACCTGTTTTGCTTCAAATAATATCTTAAAACTTTATAGAACAAAATGTTCATCACCGTGCATCCCTAGTGGTGGAAATAGCCATTATAACTGGAAATGAACCTGGACCAAACTGCATTTGAACAATGCAGTGAGCAACTCCTTAGTTAAAAGTAATATTACTTTGTGATGACTGAATTAAGAAGGCATAATGTCAGGCCAGAAACTGTTTTCCATCCAATTTTTAAGGGGGGCCTAGAATGTGAAAGTTAAATATTGCAGTTGAATTTTGGAAATTCTTTAATGCTGGAACACCTGTTTTCCAGGACATTTAAGTGCTACAAGAATAAAGCAGTGCTGTGATGAGATTGATTTTCTGTAAAATAGTAAGCAGTAGAAGTTAAGGACTCTTGAATATTTCTGGCAAAATTTCCCTTCACAGCAGCAACTTTTATTCGTGAACCTAATTTTAGTCTCTTAGTATGTGCTTCTTTCTAAGCACTCTCTGTGTGCATGTGAAATGACTGCTGTCCTTTGTTTCTTCCCTTGGGTTTGTAGTTTTTCGAGTACACATCCCACAATGAAATACGTTACAACACGCGACAGCCGGAAGTCTGTGCAGCCGTTGATTCAGGAACTGACTACCTGACGATGTACTTGTGTCAAGAAAATGCCCACAGTGTTCCTGAAAACCAGAAGTTTATTTTCAGAGAGGTAAGTGTGCCTGTTTGGGTTCGGGTTTGCTCTTTTTTGCGAGTGGGTGGAAGGAGAATTGTTGAATTTTTGAAATTTTTATCTTACTGCATACACATTGTGCAGGCCACAACACTGGCACAGGTCTCTGGGAGAAGTAGGCTATCTTGGCTTTCAACATCTGAACACAGAAACAGGGTAGTGAGCAAAGAGCATTCCAGTCATAAAGAACAGGAAGATTAGAGGAAGGAAAGCACCCTTGTTAACATCAAGGAGCTTGGGAACATTCTCTCTTGCATGTTGCCCTTGCTGTTTTCTCCTGAGATTGAGGTGCTTCAATATAACCCTTCCCCAGCCAGTCATATGGCTGGCCTACTTCTCTCTTTTCATTGACTTATTTCCAAATATTTATATTACCATTTATCCCCAATACTTCACACATCACCATTACTTTGTGGTCTTTCCTGCTTTTAAGCAGCTGCCTCTACATGATATTAGAAAAGTTTGTATTTAGTCGTTTTGAATCCGTAAAGAAGCCCCTGGATGCCTGAGAGAAAATAAGCTGGGTGAAAAATGATGGCCTTGGTCAGGTTCTGGAGTGTTGTTATTTGGCTAATGGAAAAGGTCACATAATATATCAAAATGGTATATTTACATAATGTGTCTGCATAATGCATCGAATCCCTACAGGCTCCATGGCTGACAAATGTCACACTTTGATACCACCAGCAGTGATAGGTAGCAGGGTAAACTCTAAAAAAATAAGATGGAAGTTACTGTCTGTTCCCTAAATCTAGTCCAGACTGAAGCTCATAGTGATATTACTAAATAAAAATGTTTAAAAGGTTGACTTTATAAATTATGTTTCATTTTTAATGTCATCTTTTAACAAAATTGCTCAGTCATATTGCATGAATCCCTAAGATGACGTATATTGAAGGATCTTCAGTCACTTCAAGAAGTAATCAAGAGAACTGAACTTTTCAAATTGAAAAAATGAAAAAATAGAAAAAAATTATGGAATGTATGTGTTTCCACCGTAACCATTAATTTCATCATCTGAGACTTTAGGAATTACTTTAAATGTTCTTTCTCATGATCACTTTGTGTGTGTGTGTGTGATTTGAACGTACTGCTCTGCTCCGGTTCCTTTTCTGCTGCTACACTAAATCAAAAGCACCAGTCTCCACCTTTCAAGGCGAGTGATGGGTGAGGTGTCAGCACTACATTTCTTTTGCTTTGTGCATAGTACTGTCAGGCAGCTGTCCTTATGGATGGAGCATAATCAAAGATTTGAACAGCCTTCCCAGCAGCTTGGCAAGAATTGAGTTCTTGTGGACACTGAGTCCAAAATGAGTGAGATGGATACTGATTAATCTGCTCTAAAACTTGAATTATTGTGATGGAAGCAAGAAAGTAATTCTGCAGCTGAATCTGTCAGCAAGTCTGTGAGCAAGCACACGCTGCTGGGCATCAGGAGCTGCAGCTCAGGATGCAGTTAAGTGCAACATTCCTGATGGGGGAAGGAGCAGACTTCCACAGGAGTTGGGGCTATGGACAGAAACAAGGCATTGGCATTTTTCTTTCAAAGCTACCAGGGGCCTTGGGAATTGCTGCACCCAGGCCAAGGGGATGGCCTCAGAGCAGGGCAGTCCTCCACGGTTGCTACGCTGCCCTTTTGCAGCTTGCTGTCCTAGCTGACAGCACTCCTGGATTGGAAGGAGAGACTTGATCTGGAGATAAATGTAAAAAAAGGGCCTGAGATCTCAAAATATGTTCTTTAGGGAATTTGACTGTGGATGCCTGTCAGACCTTACACTTCTGAGGCAGCTTTCCTTTCAGCAAAGCAAGTGAACTCCACACATATCTGCAGGAAAGGGGCACACTTAGATATTTTTACTTTTTCCATCAAAAATATACCCTACGAAGAGACAGGAAAATTTCTTGCTAAAATATTTCCAACATTTATGCTTAATGAGCAATATTTACCTTTTACTCACAAGATATGCAATAAATTGATACATTTGGAGGTAATGCTTGTGGCTTGGCTTAGTTCTTTTCTGCCATATTCTGGTCCAGTTACAAAAGGCAATGAAAGCAAATGTTAGCACATCCTTTACAGGCTGAGATGCCACTTCATGAGTCACTCTAAAGCAATGCTGATGTCAGTTTACCTAAGTTTAAAAGCGGAATCTTTTGATAACGTTTCAGACATCCTCAAGTTAGGCTTTCCTGCACAACCCCATTGGAAGAAAGAAGCTTCTCCTTCCCACAGTCCCTCCTTCCAATCCCTTTTTCCCAGTTGCTGAGCCCCAAAATGTTCAAGGTTGCTTTACTGCCCAAAATCCGTTCCTCGCACAATCCCAAGACATGCCACAAGATGGCCGCCACTGAAGAATATGTGTGATATTCATTTGTTGCAAATGATTTCTGCTACTTCAAAATACATTGGTATGTCTGCAATTTTTGAGACTTGAAAAGCTAACTTTATTTCTGGCTTTTGTAGGATGGTACCTTGTTTCACCCACAAACCCAGAGGTGCTTACAAGCCGAGGCAAACGCTTACAACGGGAACCCAGCACCATTGCTACGACCTTGCACCAACTCGGACTATCAAAAATGGTTCTTCAAAGAAAGAAGTTGATCCAGATGTTGTCTAGGATATAACTGAATACAAAATAATGTGCTCTTTCTAGTCAGCAGTTAGTCAGCCTTTTGAAAAGCTCATAAGTGATATATTTTTGTATGGAAAGAACTGTAATTAGTTGACAAGCCTTGGATCTCGTTTCCTGGAGCTTTAGAAGGCACTAAGTACTGAGAGCTTCATAAAGTGCCACAGAATCTGCTCCTTTTTATTTGGCAGCTACATAACTGCTTCTGAAGTGTCTTAGGTTCTTTTCGTAAGTGACATTTTTTTAATCTACTGTGTCGAAGTAAGGCAGTCACAAAAATTGCACTAATGTTAATCTGCCAATAACTTAAAATGTTTATTTTTCTACTAAAACATTCTCAAGTTGGATTTTTTACAGATAGTAGTTAATAATTGTTCTTGTCTTTTAAATACCAGGAAGGTAAATGTAGGCCATATTCTGCCCTAAGTGACTACCACAAAGCCCTCACTGAAGACAGTGTGGATTTACACATAAAGGCAGAGTATGACTGCATGGTTTTGCACAAATAACAATCTAGTTGCATACAAATTGCACATGCTTGACAATACCATACCTTAACTGATCTGACAAATTTAGATGTTCATGGCACTTGAAAAGTTTCTAATCATGCTTAAGATGGTTTGGGAGTAAAATGGGGATTTTCTCATCTTTCTTAAAGGCAGAAGGCAGCAATATTTAAAGGTGATGCTTTGGGAAAACCTATTTAGATTCATATGGGCCCAGCTATGTGGCTGTGTCCTAGAATCCACAACCAACTTTAATGTTATGTGGATTTTCAATGAGCATAAAACTTTCAAGATAAGACCTATCAACAATAGGTCTTTTGTACAATTTTTCTTTTGTAAAAATTTGAAAACTACAGTTAGAGAAAATGAGTCTTAACATTTAAGTGTTTAAATGATTCATGGAAAAACGATTATATTTTTAAAACAGTTTTGCAACTGATTTCTGTGAAATTCAGCTAATATTAATACAAAAATTATTGTCTTTGAGGTATAACTTGCATTTTGTCTGGGAGCTCCTTTTAGATGAGCTGACCCTGCTTGTGGTCCTGTTGAAAACAGGGCGTGTAATCTGCAGCAGTACAGGATGGTTTGTGCCCTGGTGTGTGGGACCTGCCTTGCCCAGTCAGACAAGGAGTGTGTAGCAATGTGTCTGGCCATCGACCATCAGCATTACCATGTTGATTAAAAGGGTTTCAGCTCATAAGAGGAGTTTCCTTCCCTGTCAGATGAAGGAATGCTTATGTGTAGAAGGATGAAAAAATGTCAACCTTTTTCCCTCAGAACTCCGGTAATCTGTTTTGATTAGTTTGGTATGTGTTTTGTTATTTGCTTTTGTTCATGTTTTCTATAAAAAAATGTACAGCCTTTCCTTGGAATCCCCATAAGCTCATGCCATTTTGGCATACCTATTTATATGATTGGGTGTGGGAGGAGGGTTTCTGCTTTTAGGAGATACATGTGTACATGTTCTCCCAAGGTCTTTCTTACCCATGTAGATAGAAGGTTTTTGTGAGTGCCTTTGAAATTTTGTCTCTGTGGGCTAGACTGATGAAACTGATGTTAGAATTAATAAAATATTTTATGATTCAGTAGAGTGGGAAATGTCTTATCCACTATTTTTTTTTTCTTGTGGCCAGTGGTTTTCATTTCATCATTTTGCTGATCTCTTAGGCCCAGATCCCTACAGCACTTGGGAGAAGACAGCTTCATTTTATGGTGCCTCAAGTTCTGTTTCCTGAACTCAGTAGTGCTTCTGTTCACTTGGTAGCAGCAGTGGTTTATACTTTGTGGAGCCACAAATCAAAAGTGAGTGGCTGCATGAGAGAACAGCAAGGATTTTCTACCAATTTCTGCTTTGCCTTCTTGACTGCTGATTGAACCATGTTAGTTGCTGATAAATGCCCAGCTACCAGAATCACAGCCAAAGCTCTCACTGGCCTCCATTCTCAGTGAGGTTTTCTTAGTCTTGGGATTTCAAGATTTCATCATCAGATGGTGGTATGCAAGTGAAACTTAGTAAGTGGAAATTATTTCCTATACATCTTCTCACTTTGCCCTTGTTTAGAGGGAAGTATTGATGCTTTTGGCTTCCTGCAGCTAAGATGTTTTCACATATGCCAGCAAACCTGCCAGCCTGGCTTGCATATTTGCTAGAAAAACACACTTGAGTTCAAAAGCAAACACTGAACATTAGCAATGCCATCAGCTTGCTCCCTCTGTGTTGGCCTTCTAGTCCCTCCACTTACCATTTTTTATTCCTTGACAGCCTTTTCTTCTTCTCAGCTCACTGGAGTTGAGATGAATTAATGCCTGACTTCAGGTTTGGAGGGTGAAGGACTCCATCAAGCATCTGAGTCATGAAGCACATCTTCAGACTTCCTTTAACATCTCCAGACTTCCTTTTGCAGGAGGTCAGGGTTACCTGCTGAGGAATGGACTGTGGGCTTCGGGCTTCTCCTGAGCACAGATGGGGCTGGATGTCTCATAGAAATGGAAAAATTGGAGGATTTTAGTCACAAATTAATGCTCATTTCTTAGTCTTTCTATTCCTGTATTTTTTATTTTTATTTTTTTAGAAAGCCATCCAGACTACAGTCAGGTACCTAATTATCATATTTATTTGAAATGATCAGGTAGTGATTTTGACTTTTTTTTCATTTACTCACTTACCAATTTCCTTTCATTTAAAAATTGTGGGTCTTCAACATGGGCTAAAACTTATTGGATTTTCAATTCAACAGAAGACAGTACATGAACCTTCCTTCTAAGAAATAAACCACTAAAACCTCTCTATATGTGGCCTTGTCTGAAACATTATGTTGGGGGATTGGCAGAGCTTGCAGAAACACCTGGGAACAACAGTCATCATCGTCCATGCATCATTCAACATGAATTGGAAATAGTATTTCTCGCTGACTCTGCTGAAAACAGATACTCAAAAGTGTGTTCAATTTTTGTTATATTTATAGGAAGTGGTAAGATGCACTGCAAGGGGAAATTCATGTTGGTTGATAAGGACTGATGAGATTGTGCTCCTATTTCCTATTTATGAAAACATGGGCACCTACACAGTGATAGTGCTTGGTTGGTAATTTAAAATCTGATGCTCTTTTAACTTCATTTGCCTTTCTTAAGGCCTTTAGATTTGGAGATTACCTTGAAGTTAGCTGAGCTTTGTCCTGATACCCTGATAGAAAGACAGCAATCTAGGTGTGTGGAGAGACTGTAGGGTTTGGATCATGCAGTTGTGTGTATACCCTTGCAAATGTGCAGGTTTTTTGGCAGTGTTTGAGAATGCTGTATGCTCTTGTAACAAATAAGGAACTTTGGTCCAGGAAGTTAGCTGAGGTAGGTATGAAAGCCCTCGGGAGAGAGGGAAAAGATGGATAGGAGAGCTCCCCCCTGTTCTGTTGAGGCGCAACAGGAATAGCTGAGTTCAAATTACAGCACTGCAGTATTCCTACATTTCTCATTTGCAGAGGAAAAACATTATGCATGTACATGTAGTACTAAAATTACTATGCCTAGATTACCAGTTTTTTGGGTTTTTTTAATCCACTGTTCACTGATATTTTAAGGAATAGACAAAGCCTGATTAGACCAGTCCCAGTCAGCACTGACAGGAATTGCATGGCTCCAGGATTTGCAAGGGTGGCTGGAGACAAAAAACAGGGCAGGACCTTCTCAGTGATCTCTCCAAAAGTATTAAGAAGATGAATATGCAGGAAAATACATACAGGAAGTGAGTTGCTGGCTTAAGGGGCTGCATGATATATTTTGTGTAGCATCAAACCATCTCCCAGAGGACTTGCAGCAGATGCAATTTATTTGTTGGTGCTAATGGAAAATCAGTTTTCTGAGTTTCTTGACTTTATCTGTGGTCTGAAGATACTTAACTTGCAACTGAAGAAAAAGTGGTCAAGGGAGTCATACTAGTACAGATGCTTAAATGTGAAATTAATTAGATACTCTGTGATGAGCAAATATAAATATATAAAGAAAAAAATTGTTAATTGTGCATACGCTGTGAGAAGACTTAGTAATAACTGAGAAACTGGAAGCGATCATTAGCGGGAAGATACTTGACAGTGTTTTTACAGAAATATGGCTGAAGGATTCACATGATTGAAGCTCTGAAATGACTGGGTAACATGCCAAGAAGAAAGTGACATTTGATTTTCGAGTTAAGAGAACAGGTTTTACAATTCTTGTGAACTGATATTTTAGCCAACGAGGAATAAACAGAGGGTGTCTGATGTGGACCACCAAATGAGAATATAATGCCTTTTTGCCTAACAGATAAAGGATGTGTGCTGCTTCAGAGGATTTCATCCTAGGGAATGCACTTTACCAATTTGATGGTAGCAAAACCTTCTGGGGATTTCTAAGGGGAAAAAAAAGGCAGCTGGGCCAGTGGCTGTGTCTGACACAATATTTAATAAGCAGTTTGGTGCAATTCTCCTTCAGGCCTTCTTTTATTTAAAATTAACTGTTACCTGGGCATCTGTTATGCATAAACGCAGCATAGTACCTAAGAAAAGAAATTTCTCATAGCTGAGAACTGGAAAGAAGCAGGCTTTACAAAATATAACTGTAGCAGAGAATCATGTTGAAAACATATGTGGACAACGTGAAACTTTCAATCAGTTTGCAAATTAAATACTTAGGTGCCAGAAATAAAGGTTTTTGTGAAATCAAAAGTTGGCCTCAATGTGTGTATTACACTACGATTTTTAATTACATTATTTTCTTGCAATACATCCCCTGTTTTTGAGGGAGGAGTGAGGGGTGCTTGGGGTTTTTTTGTTTGTTTTTATTGGGGGTTTTTTGTTGTTTTTTTTACAAAAGGTGGAGAAACTGTCATTTTCATGCCTCACTGATACACAGGAAGAATTTTGAGAGGCTTACTTTAACTAATCCTCATTGTTCAATATATGGCCTTACTTGCATCCCCAGAACAAATCCCTAGACTGAAAAATAAAAATTATTTTCTTACAGTGAGTTGTTTCCTTTTTTTTTGGTTTTTTTTTTGTTGGTTGGTTGATGGGTTGTTTTTATAGAACTTGAATGTTACAGTTTCTTAGTGTTTCCCAAATACTTATTAATCTGTCTTCACAGTACTACCATGAAGGAAGAGCACCCTGTTTTACTGTCAGGGAGTGCAGCAAGAAACAGATTAAGGTCAGAAGCACCACATTGTTAAATACTGTAATTTGAAGTGCAGCTTTGCTTGGTTTAAATGATATCCAGCCACACTGCAGACCTCTGCAGACCTCTCCTAGATGCATTTCTTTGCCCTGTGCACTGCAGGGACACCAGTGTCGGCTGGTCTCTGCCTCCCACATGAGGGCAAGCCTTGAACTTCACTCTGAGTGGAACTGTCCAGTGACTCTTTTTCTGGCCTGTGCTGGAAAAGCAAGGAGATGCATTTCAATCTTCAGCTGACAAAGGGACATTTGCTGCTGCAGCAGTAGCAAAGAAGGATGTCAGGTAGTTGCTAATAATGTCCAAGATACTAATTCTGTTGCAACACACAACCTGGCCTCAAGCTTTCTTTCAGAAAGACTGAGTTCTCAAAACCGTAGATATTGCTTCCAAAAAAAACCCCCAGATCTTGGAAAGATGATGACAGTCCAGAGACAATGTGAGTGTGTGTGCTAATAAACTGCCAATGTTGTAGAAGGATCACCAAGTTGATTGAAGTAGCTGTAGTTCTGGTAGCCAAGTATGGGTGAAAATCACAGAATGATACAGTATATAAGCAGTGAAGAAAGATTTTTCTGTGGAACTAA